CCGTGTTGGAAGCGCCTCATGGATTTCTCTGACCATGTATAGTTCAGTAAGCACCGGATGAGTATCGGTTTTTACAAAGATTTTGACGAATACCCCGCCGGGGCCTAACGAACACTGTTTGGTACGAAAACAATTGAATGTATTCATTTGTGAGCTTGTGTTCTGAGACTAACAGTGAAATAGAAAAACCCTCAGCGGTATACACATATAATTAATCGTATCGACATTCGACAGGTGAGACAAAGTGATAGCTGATGGTGTTTACCTTGGTGTGTGTGCACAAGGTGTTGGACACCTGCATGAGGGCAAATAATCAATCCCTCAGTTTGTGGCGTGCTATACACTTTGGTTGCAAACTTCCGTTGTGTACAATAGAGTCGACCAGCTGAATACAATAGTTGTTCTCTATGTTCTCAAAAAATACAATAATTTATTCGAAAGTGATTGACAGAGATTGATTAATTAGTATTACAATATGAATTTAAACTCTCAATCTATTCGAAATACAGACCCCTCACTGGATATCGAGTAAATTAAAACATAAACGACAGTATTTTTTGAGCACAAAAACTGATTAGAACATCGTTGTTTGAGGTTCGGAAATGAAGCATTCAAGGATGTGCTATTATCTATTCATCACTAAGTTATCTTAGTCCATCTGGATATATGTTCATACTCACTGGCTGATTCACTTGAACTACCGAACGGAAAAATGCTTATTATTCAATCCATGGATATCTAATTAGAAGTACCTGTAGATTCACATAATTCTCCAAACCCAATCACTTGTGGTTTGTGTAGTGGCCTGCGTTAGACTTGAGTTGTTCTACAGATCCTCCGGACTTCAGTAGTGCGCTTCATTCTCTTGCAAACTAGGTTCAAGGTTTTTGGGAAAAGCTGGGTGAAGTGTGCACAGACAAAAACTTGGAAGGCCTTTGAGAAATCATCAATTCTGCTTCTCACTGAAACTATTCGCAATAAGAACTTACGTAAAATGTGCAATTTAGATGTTATAACAGATCCCGATCAAAAAAGCCCAGAGGGCAATGATTTCGTTCTAGGCTTGTTTTCAGGTCAGATAACAATTACCATCATCTTTCTACCAAGAGGAAGAAAATACAAAAACAGACATAAGTGCTGCCGTTGTCGATCCAACAGGCTCATTCACATTAAATGTATTTCAAAGTATCAATTCGTCGTTTATATAACAAATGAAGCGTGAACTGGACAGCTGTTTCGGCCTAATTGGGTCTCATCCGTGCAGTGTGAATCCATCGACCCAATTAGGGATCGAACCCCGGGACCTCACAGGCAGAAGGCAAGCACGCATTTCAGTTCACGCTTCATTGGCTATATACACGATGAATTTCTCAGTTGAAATTGAATGGAATGCCCCATCACTCACATTCGATATAGTCATTTTTACATCAAACAGATTTATTCCTTGACAAACTGAAACACGGTCCTCCCCGATTCAGTCCGTATACATTTAGGTAAAATTCGCATTCCCACAGCTGATCAGGAATTCCGTCACTTCCTCGGAACTGAGAAGAAATTCGATCAGACAGTCGTATCATATTTTATTCATAACGTATACCGTTAACATTGTCAATGATTCTGTACCACTTCACAAACTGACACATCTGTTATCAAAGATGTTTTTTGTCAGAACACCAAGATTCAAGATAACACGATAGGTCATTTATGTTGCACTTAACATAGTACTTTTAATTCAGTTCGAATTTCAGTGAGGCCCCATGGGCGATTCAACATTGAAATGTATTGAAATGCAGCACGTCTTCCGGACTTCGGTCACGTGCATCCGAAGGAGGATTGCGAATTCAACAGTCAACAGCATCATTATTCTTTTCATTTTACTTTCTTTCATTGCATATACAAATAAACAATTTTCAGTAATGGGTAAGCGGTCAGTCAAAGGGCTGCCGTACAACACACGGAGAAGGGGGAAAGTCAAGCGGTGTTGGTGGGATTCGAACACGCATTCCCCGAGGTGATAATTTGGCAACGTTACCACCGGGTCACCACCACCTATTATGCGATACGACCACCGGATCTGAGAACAGAAACCCCTGGAGGACATAGTAAGCAGCAGAAAACTTGTGTCTTTCGAACGAGAAAATAACTCTGACGGGAACAATGACACCAACAAGACAGATTTTTGACTATGACAATTTGTTCAGTACGGAATAAATAGTGTAGCTCTTTGTAGGTCAGGGAGTATAAGAGAAAATCTATGCGGTTAAATTGAAAATGCTTTTCATGTGGTTAGACTGTCAAAAGACTGTGATAAAGATTAGGATGTAAATATTCCTTATTCCACATTCCATGAGCCCTGGGATTTAGTTTATTGACAAAATAGGAACTGGTAAACGATAATAAAAACAGACTGACAAGTACAGCACAGAACCACATGGAAGGAAGGTGAGTTAGTGGTTTTAATTAAAGAACTAACCACATTGTCTGCAAACTTTCAACAAATACAACCTAGGGTGATAGGAAGATCCTCTATGCACTCGGGAAAACGGGAGAGTGGACGGTTCCTTGAACTTCACGGAAACTAATTTGAGGAACAGCGGACCGTTTGAGGCCAAGCGCAATAAACTGTGTTTACTACTATTTATCTTTAGAATATTAGTTTCACAATAGATATGTAGGCTAAGAATGTTTGGGTGGTGAGGGGGGAGGGCGAATACCCATCGCTCAACTTTATAGCAGGAGCACAGGTCGAGGGACATTTTTGTTTGTTAGAGCTCGAAAAATGAATTCATTCATTCCGTTGTTGATTGAGGAAATCCAACCAGTCGCTTGGATGTCATATACATCTAGTATTCTATTCCCTCGTCCCACCATGTCGCTCCCTCGCTTTCGTTTGTTCGTCAAACTCAGTCAGTCCCGTTGGGCTCCTTCAATTGTATGGCGCAGGTGGTGACTTGATGAATAGATGGCAGTTGATCAACT